TAGTTTTCTCTCTCATAAATGAGGCTTGTGGATTTTTGAGTAATGTTCTGGGTGACAGATTTGCTCTTTTAGCCACGTCACATCTAGTTCTTCCATATTACCATCTGAAACCATGACTCTATGCTGTGGTTATCCTCGTCACTGTCTGTTTTATGGTTTGATCTTTGTAGATTTCTTAAAAGAAACAAGAGTTGCTCTGAGATTTCACAGGCTCACTTCTATAGTTTTCTCTGTGTGGTATTATTAAGCTTCTTATTGTTGCAGAGCAGAATTTGAACGAACCACAGAAAAGCATTCAAGTTAGATGTAATCAGCGGCTTAGATGTTCTGATTTTCACTCTGGGAGACCGGATATTTGGGGCTCCATTAAAATGTCTGTCAAATATGTTTGTCGACGATATAATAAAGGACCATTTCCTTCATTCGTCTAACTGTAGACGTCTAAATGTGACAGGATTACAACAGGACACGGAAATTAGATTTTGAAAGTGTGTCAAACATGTCTGAGGAAGGAAAAAGACATCAGAAAACACCAACCTCAAAGTCATTTCTAAGAGAATTGAAATCCAGACAAAAGTAAAGAGGTGGAAGACGCATCAATCCAAAAACAGATCCTCCCACAGCAGAGGTCAAAGCACAATCACAGTCCAGTGAGAGTAAATATATCTGACAGGAAACAATCAGAAACATTTCATGTCTACAAGCCCAGATGGAAAGGTCACTGCTAATGTCAAACGCTGCATGTCACAAATCAAATGTGAACGTCAAGTGTCACTATGGGGCGTTAAACATACGAAAAGACAAAGTGAGAAATATCTCATGATGCTGTGTAAGACACACTTGGTTAATATCAAACTGCTCAACCCCTCTGAGAGAGCTGCGCAGAGAAAGAAAGAGAGTGAGAGTTGAACCGAATGACTGATATTTAAGCTGACCACCACCTGCTCAAAAAAAAAAGAAAAGGCGGCACAGCAAAAGAGGGAAATGCGAGGCAAAAGTCTGCTAAAAAGTCCATCTAAAAAAAACCTAAGCTATTTTTTGGTCTTATATGGCAAGACCAAAGCAAAAAAACAAACAAACAAAACACTCATTAAAGAGTGTTAAGATCCTCATGTAAGATACTTCATAAAAAAGTGTGTGCTTAATGATTAAATGTAAATGTGTTCTATTTAGAGAACACTTGTTAGTTATTTACTAAAAATCTAACTAACTCAAACAAGTCCAAAAAGCCATCCTTTCAATGATCTAACTCACTAAACAACCAAACCAAGTCAATCAAGATGCAATGTCATGCTTCTTGAAGAACTACCTCACTAACCAAAATAACTAAATCAACACCAAAAGCCCAACACAGTTCCAAAGTTTATTCTCTTCAGAAACTAACACACTAAATAACCAGACCAACTCAATTATGACCCATCGTCACGCTTCTTGATGAACTATTATGCAAACTAACTACATCAACACCAAAAGCCCATCCTTTAGATGAACTAGCCTAACTTACTAACTGACCAAACTAACTCACTAATTAATTCTTAATCTAATAACTCAATCAAATCCACACGGTCCATCGTTTTGATGAACCAACGCGGTAGCTAACCAAACAAACTCAATAAAGACCCAAAGTCCATCAATTAAGTGCTTCATTGATCCTGACATTATGTGGACCAGCTGATATGTAGCAGGGTAAACGAGCTGAGTATCCTGTGCTCTATAGCCAACAGTTGGGTGGATGCATGCTGTATTAATCACATAAAGGTGAATGCGGTATGCCATCAAAGGGATAAGCTGATGTCTGTAGATGAAGCAAGGAGTGTATCTCTCAGCTGTCAGGCTGTATGCTGCTAACAGATGGAGCCCAGATGATACATCCACTTTACAAGCCCTAACACACTTAACTGCACCGGTCCTCCCACACGACCTGGAGAGGTAGCTGATCAGTGAGCCTCTCCTGACAGCAGTAGAAGACACTGAAAGCAAGTCATATGTCCTGTATATAGACAGACTTGCGGTTGCAACCTGTAGAGTTTACAATACACAGGTTTATGTGGTGTATTCTGGGAAGTGCAGTCCAATTATGTGCCTACACATCTGTAGCCTTTTGAAGTGCAATGTGGTTTATTAATGAAAGTTTTAATTATATAGATTAGTATTCTGACGCTTTTGTTTCAGCCGAATGGATTTTTATGGCGCTGTTTGGATTTCTTTCGGTCTTTTTCTGAGCTGGAGGGTGTCTGGTTGTGTTCAAAGGCACTCTCTACATGCTCAGTTCCTGCGGTTTCCAGTTTTAGGGACGAGACAACACTGTCAGACTGAATTTGTCCTAACAATGCCTGATGAGAGAGGAAAGAGGTGCAAACAGGGATTTGATGAAGCAGTCGTCAGCCACAAAACAACCACTAAGAAGCCAAGAGACTCCTCAGTGATATCTTAATGTTAATACTAAATGAGATTACAAACTGTATATTAAATTGGCCAATTTTCCAATATGTCACCTCTGATGATCTTTGAGAGTTGTATATACAAAGTAATTTGTGTACATGCCCCGGGGACATCTTCAAATGTTGCAATCCCTGGATCTGCTAATCAAGGCAGGCTTATAGGATATGCTCGTGTCCAGGGGAACTCCCATTCTGATGCATAACCTCCAGAAATAGCCATCTCTCACTGACTAGGCCACAAATGGCAGCGAGGTCTCATTTGGTGGACCGACACGTTTAGAATTCCAGACTAATCAGAATACCAGCCTTGGGATCATAGTCATTCCTTTTGGGAAAAATGGGTCCTAGCTTTTTAGCTTCTGGTGCAGTTGAGGTTCAAATGACAAACGTTTCCATAAGGGTCAGTGAATGAACAGACAGCCTGTGGGCGGCGATTTATCTGCCTCTCTTCATGCCAGTTTAATTAAGCCCCGAGAGACCAATCAGATCAATGAGAGAGAGTTTATTACGCATGTAATTTAGCAAACATCTTCATTGCCTGGGAAAGCACCCAACAGTACACTCATTTAACTGAAGCTGAGTTACTTTTAACAGGTGCTTTTAATGGACGTGAGCAAGCGTTTTTTGCTAATGCCAAAGTTGTACATTTTTATTGTTTCGCAGCGGAAAATGCATTGAGGACTATCTAATCCAAATCGATAAGGAATTTCCTTTCTGAAGAATAGTTATAATTGATTATTTCTCAATGGCAGAATGCCAACTCCTTGAGCAATGAGGCTTGACGTGATTTACTGTTTAATATTAATAAACAAATACAGGAAAAGGGGCAATAGATTAGCTTCCTGACTTATTCCTGAACACGTTAACCAAGCTGTGGCCAGGATATTTCTTATCCTCTCATTTAACACACATAAATGACAAAATCCCCCCCCCAGCTTAAACAAGAGGGAATTTTGATGGTGACCCAGCAAAAAAAGAAAAAAGAAAGCTGGTTAACCAGCGCAATTTTTCTGATTAAGCTTGTTTATGGGAGGTGGAGCTGGTTAAAAGACTAGTTCCAAACCACTATGATTTTTTAATTCTGTGGAAGACACAACAGAATATTTGAGAAATGTTTCAGCTGTTTTTGTCCATTCAGATGTAAGTCAATTGAGTCAAAAAGATTGAAGCTCCAAAAAGGGTTATTTATGTATCATAAAAGTAATGCATACAGTTCCAGTGGTTTGATCCATGTCTTCTGATAACTTTGTATACTGTACTTGCCTCCCACCAATGATGTTACTGGTGTGCCGCCATACTGATTTTCACTGCATGGACAAAGACAACATTTTCATTCTTGGCTGAACTATTTCTTATAATCTATTTAAGAACCCTGAACACCAGCATCCCATCTATCAACAAAACATGCTTTTGTTGCACAATAACCTGTTCCTATCAATCAAATACTGACAAATATCGTAGCAATCACAGAGAAGTCTCCTGCCAATCTGCAACAATGTGCTGATGTTATGGACGTGAAGCTTGGCTGCGATACAGTGCGTGTATGCCCTAAATATTCCTCCATAACCTCAACTTCCCGTAAACAGTTTCTCATAAACAGACACACTTCCTCAGTGTAAAACCTCTACATACGTGTGCACACTCATGCTGGCAGCAGGTGCAAGATCAATGGGCACTGATTGGAACAATGAAACTTCCTACGCCTACCCCAAAACACACACACACACACACACACACACACACCATCTCACAGTTAGCCTTGAACTTAAGCTTTTACTGGGGTCTTTGTGCTCTTCCAATCTGACAAGCATACCTACATGGGAGTTGTTAGGAGAAGCCCACAGCAACTAACCCAGGATTTTCTGCTGTACTCATTGACATGCAGAGAATTATAGCCCAGGACTCGGCCGGGCCATTCTACTGCAGAAAAGACTTGTGGGGCCACTAAACCCTTTACTCTAGTACAGCTTAGCAAGAGTTTAATCACTGCAATGTGCTCCAGTAGAAACACAACATAAGCATATAAGATCTTACCTACACAGATAACAGCAAATAATCTTTATTTTGCAGAACCATCAGCAAAAGCATCTTGATTTGGCAGACCAAAAGGAACAAAATATGTTTTCTTGATTTTCTGACAGGTGCATTTTTATGAGACTGGTTTATCTTAGTGACACAGTGACATGTGCTGTTTATAGGAAGTATGCTATAAAATTAGCTATATAATACTGTTGTGACATAAATAAAACGTACTGAAAAAGTAAAACTGGACACTTCACTATCAGTTTCAGTTAATTTAATTATTTTCATTTACTATATATGTAGACACAATTTTATGTTTACAGTATTTTCGCCTTTTGATCAAAACATTTATATCTGTAAGAATGATTTATAGCTGGTAAATGTTTACAAAAAAAAGGCCTGGCAGATGTGGTATAAAGTTAATAAGTCAGGAAAAAAAATTATTAATAAAAATAAAGAAAAGAAACAATAATGCAGAGAACAGACATCATGCTGTTAATGTATTACATGTATTATGACAAAAAAAAAGAAACTTACCATTTGAGAGTGACTCTTGGGGCAGCTGTTAATATCTTCTACCTTCTCATTAGCTGCAACAGAGATATTTCTGGGTTAAACCTCTGCAGCACGCTGTACAAAACACAGAAGTGTACCACAATCTCGTGGCCTTTCCATCCACGGGTTACCGTCATGAGGCAAGAAAGTTCGCCTTTGCAGTTTTCGAGAGTTTGTGATTGAATGAGTGCGTGTATGTTTGCAGTGTGGGAGAAAACGCTGAGAAAATGAATGGTTGTTAATTCATCAGCTGTTGGTTGCGAGTTTGTGACATAAGATCTGCCATTGTATGCCGGAGGTTCATAATAAAGTTTCAGGACAGCCCAGAGGAGGGGAAAATGGGATGGGGGAAAGAAAGAAAGAAAAAGAAAAAAGACAGACTGACACACATGCACACAACGCAAACCACTCTGGGCTCACTAAAGTGAACATATGGGAGACATATGCTTAAATAGTGCAGAGATTGCGTTCAATTTTCATGTTGCTGATTTCCTAATCCAGTTTAACGTGAGCAAAATAACTTAAAGCTGAATCACAGTAAGTAGTTATGTTTTACACATATAATTGTATCACTGAAATGAGCTGTGAAGATTTATTAGCCTGCGCTGTGTGTGTATGTACGTTTGCGTGTACCCTTACCTATTATCTGGATGATTTCTGCCAGCAGAACTCCATCGGGAATGTCCTGAGTCAGGTCCTTAATAAGCCTCGGACAACCGGACTTGGCCAAATAATGGTTTGCCCAATCAGTGTAGATCTATAGGGAATATGAGGGAAAAAAATCTGATAAAGAACATAGCCTCTAATACTGATACAATACTGATTAATGAAGAATTATGTCAAAGAGGACCTAAGCAGGTAAAAGGCGTCTGTGGTTTGATTGACAGAAGATCAGAACCAGAACCACTTAGGAAAACAAAAACCTAGCCATCAAAGCACCCAGCTTAAGTATGAGGTCAATTTAATCAAAACTATCAATAAGGCCTCAGCATTTATAATAGATTACCTGGATTATTTTACAGGATAGAATCCAGCCCTTATATGACATTTTGACACAGCTGATCCATTTAATCAGACGTGGATTACAAGGATAGTACCTACTTACAACAAATTAACTTTTCAAAAGGCTAATTCCTCTCTAAATGATGGTGTCATTGCACATTGAGCTTTTAAACCATTGTTAAAGTCCTGGTGCAGCTACAGTAAGTTTTTACAAAACTGTTTCGCAGCAGAAGTGTAACTGCAAAAACATTGAAACAGCATGCAAGGAACACTAAATTAAGTAAGTCCTTATTTATTGCTTAATATACCAGGTCTGTACGAACAAATGCAACCCCCTGGTGTCTCAGTAATATGTCCTTGGATAGGTGTTCCTCAGGGGTCTGTTATAGGGCCCCTTAAAAACTCATGTCACAAATCTTAGAGCTCTGCTCTTTCATTGTGATTTTAGGATTAGATCACATTTCACATGAAGCAAGCGGTTTTCCATTTCCCACTTAAGTGAGAGCACCCCAGTGGCAAGGGACACTCTCAGAGCTCACATCCTCTCACTAATAGAATTGCCTGTATGGGGCTTTTGTCTGTAACATTTCAAATCAGTATGTGCATTATATAAAGACTATACATTTTTCAGCTCATATTTTACTTTTTATTTGTGTTTTCAGAGTACTGTATCATCCAATTTTGATCCTAACAGAAAACGGTCAACCATCCTAATGTTGCTATAGCATCCAATACTTTTGTTCTGGCTTCTTTTATGCAGTTTCAGCCTTAATTAGGATGAACAGACCTCTCCAAACCCTCATAATCTGCACCCTGCTTAATGCTAAAGTTATGAATGACGTGCTAAAATGTATTTAAAGTGGTAAAATTTACACCCACAAACCCAGTAAAATATCAAAGGAATTTTCATTTAAGTAGCTATAGTTTCATTTGAGACCATATTATAATGCCTCATAAAATTAAAAAAGATCAGCCATGCTCTCTCGCCACCTCAAACGCAGTGACCAATTAAACACATTTATGCCTTCGCCAGGCAAAAGGAAGCATTCCACTCAAAGATGCCACAGTTCAAAGGTTTTGTCTGTTGTGGTTTCAGCATATGATGAGGAGTTGTTAACAAGAACAGGGTGATGAAGAGATCTTTAGTCATCCTCCCACTTTAACACAACACAATACAAAAGAGATCCAATAAAGGCCTCCGCTCACCACTCCAAATCACAGTCACCTCCGAGAGTTGAGTAAACAAACAGCTACACTACCGCACATGCCAATACCTCCAGTCACAGCAGAGAAAACAGCAAAGAATTTACACATTTCAGCAGCATCTAGAAAACCAGGTGAATTCTGCTCTGGTTTGGCTATGATATTGATGTTTTGGTTCATCCTGTGGCCCAGGATGTAGAAGGAATTTGTATTTCTGTGGCTTAACCTGAGTGAGTTGGTGAGGTAAACTGATGCAGCGGTTGAAAGGTCAGAAAAGGAAGTGGAGTATAAGACAGCGATTCTCTGCAGCACAACCCTGTTCTCCTTTTTCCTGCCTGACGGAGGGCTGAGAGAATTAGGGGTGCCGCAGTGCCACAGTTGTTCATGTGCTCGACGGGCAGAAAATGTCCATCTGGACCTTTGACAGGAAGGAAAGAGAAATCACTCTGTCTTCCTCTTATTGCCTCCAGCGCCCGGAGATCAACAAAGAAAGCAAGTGAGACATAGGAAGAGAAAGCAAGACGAGAGAACGAAATGACAGAGAGAGAGAGAGAGAGAGCAAGACAGAGAGAGAAAGAGAGAGAGAGAGAACAAAGAACAACAGGAAAAGCAAGAGACTAGAGCACATTTTACATTTAAAATTGTTAACCCAGTAGCAGCTATCTTGTTCATGCTTTACTGTAGCTGACTACAATCATGGGTAGTCAGGTTTTTCACACAGTATTTATAACTCTGGGTTAACGTTCCTATTGGCATATTAATGGTTAATAATGTCAACTGGACAAATACAGCACACAGTGAGCAAAAAACCTGGAGAAAGCTACGTGTAAGCCAAATCACCTGAGCCATTCATGTCATGTGACTAATTATCACTAGAGCTGTAGGAAAATGACAGTGCTGATGGCACCACAAGAAAGGATGGAAAAATGTCTATTTCATGCTATTTCAAGTCAGACTACACAGCTTCTTTTGAATGGCTATCAATCGAAATGCTTTTTGGTGTAGTTAGGGTAGGCCATCTACCAGCATGGGCCAGCTGGACAATGATAACCACCACAAACTTTGACTTTTTCTGGTTGTTCACTGTTCAACATTTGTCATGCCCTCAGACTATGAAACAAAAGAGTTTCAGTGAACATAAAAAGTTCATGAATATTTAATGATTGCAATACTTTTTGATAAGTAATGTCCTACACTTCCACGTTTCACAGTATATACTCTACTTTTGGGACTATAAAAGTTAGGCTTCATAAACTAGGGTTAAATATGTTGCTAAGGTCGGTCAAAAGCTGCCTTATTTCTGCGCTACCTGTTTTCAAACAGGTTTCCCAAACACTCCTACCATTGACCAGACAAACAACCACTCCCCAAACGTTATTGGTTGTGCTAATGTTGCCATGCAGAGCCATTTGGGGTGCCAAACAAAGAAAGCAATGTTTTGAAAGCACCACAGAGCCCAAGCGTTTTTACTTTTTAGGGAAAATTTGGTTTACTTAAAGAAAATTGGTTTACTTAAAGTTGTCTCTGCATATTAAGCTGGGATAAGAGAAGGTATTTAACCTCAGAAAAATTACATGCTTCAGCTTTAACTTGGGGTTTAAAAGATAAGCAAAAATGAAAATTAAAAATAAAATGCTGACAGGTAGAGGAAGAGAAGATTCTCATTAAAATAAGGCTAAAGGAGTATCTTTGCATTCTGGTAATGAGGATAGCAGTGGATACAGATGAAATCTCCCTGAGAGAACCATTACCACAGTCATTTACTTTCTTATAAACAGATTGGTTTATCTGAAAACCACCATTAACATTTTTATCAGCCAAGGCAATGAACAGTATACCGAAGAGAAGTTCTGTAACAAGCAAGCCAGCATCTCCAATGCACATGATAACCAGCAGCACTGGTTTAAAGCAATGCTTTAATCAATGCTGCCATTAACACTAAGGCACGAAGGAGGGTGAAATGGGCCGGTCTGCAGCTGTAAATAAGCGACTCTTATGGCAGAAGGAAACTGGTTGTAAAGCAGTCGTTCAATCCGATAGTTTCACGGAGGGAAGTACACAGAGCCAAGGTTAAACAGATTCCTGTCCCGTTATTTTAGGGAATGAACTTGCTGGTGTTTCCCACTGTGAGACCGGCAGAAGCTCACATGAACAAGAACACATCTCAAAGTGAGTCCCGGTGCTCCTTAGTCCCCAAATGAGCGCCCTGTGACTTCACTCACAGCTATTTATCATGCGTCACTGTTTCTTTTCCCGCGACCCATTATTTTCCCAACAGCTCTGACACTGTGGTTTTGTCTCTATTAATGAGCAAGCGCTTGTTTGGCTGATGCATCACTTCACTGTAAAACCCAACTATGCCACCCTCAGCGTTCACACAGCATTAAACGGACACACACACACACACACTCATGCGGCTGTCATTCATGAGCGCTGCCTCCTCCCCTCGCAAGCAGGTTGCCAATGTACTCATACATGCGTCCACACACCCACACACACACACACACACACACACATCCATCAAACAAAAACACAAAACCCCTGGCTTTGTCCCTGACTCTAAGAAGCAGTTAACAGTTGCTGTTTCAGCCTGCTAGAGTTAAGCTCAAGTGAAGTGTGTGTACCTCTTAAGAATATCTGAGCCCAGGTTGTCCCCGTCCCCAGCGTCCCGCTGATAAACGGCAGCATTCGGCTCTCTCTACTGTCTGCTCTCTATGCAGTGCCTATAACTGCGCAGGTACTGGAAGACTGCCATTACAATTGTCAGCCAACAGGGGGAGTCAGCTGCTGAGAAAAGCTGTCATGAATCAGACAGAAGGGTCCGTGAGTTCATCATCGCCTTGCGGACTGATCCAAAGACTGTATTTGGGGTTTATTTTAATGTTTTTAGAGGAAGTTTAGATTATGAATCACATAGCTGGGTGGAATTGTGTTGTTAATAAAAAATGAGGCACTTCACAAGCATATGGAATACTTAACAGCCCTGAAACACTTGAGGGCTGTTGTGTAATGCTGTAAATTGAGTTATATAGTACTGTACGGGACTGTAAAAACTTCTATATCTTATTAGAGGAATTTATGATAATTGAAAACACTACCAAGGCAAAAGGAAAGAGGTAAATAAAGCAGGAAGTTGTGACGATGTTTGTTGTTGATGTGCAGTTGATATGAGTGTTTTTAAGAACCTTTTTATGTTTTTTTCTAAGGTGTTCTGGTTGGTTCAAAAGTTGTGGGTCAGTAAGATTTTTAAAAACTTTTTTGAAAGTCTCATGCTCCCCCAAGGCTGCGTTTTTTAAATTTTGTTTAATAAAATACAGTAAAACTTTAATATTGTGAAATATTATTAGAATTTAAAATTTGAATATATTTTAAAATGTAATTCCTGTGATGCCAAAGCTAAATTTTCAGCAGCCATTACTCCAGTCTTCAGTATCACATAATCCTTCAGAAATCATTCTAATATGCTGATTTGGTGCTCAAGAAACATTTTAGTCTTTATAAATGTCTTTACTGTCACTTCTGATCAATTTAATGCATCCTTAATTAATAAAA